GCAGCCAGCTCAATTGTCTTAGCAGAATGATAAGTTTGTAAGACATCATAGAAACACTAGTTCAAAATCAAGAAATAAATTGTTTTGGACTGATTCATAATGAAAATATTCACATTTAGATTCATCGGACACCCTGAAACAGGGAAGTATATTTTTCAAAGTCAAACTGAGAAGTCCAGTTGTGGAGCCATACCTTACTCATTTCTTCCCCCAGGCAGTAGTTTAATAGTTAATGTAGCAGACAATTGACTTTGAACTCTTTGCCAGATGAAAGTACAATCTGTACTGGAACTTTTCCAGTCCTGTGAACACCTTACCACTTGGTATCAATAGTCACTCTGATGACACTGCTTCCATTAATGTCTCTGGTAAATGGGTTTTGAACTCAGGCTGTCTGGTTCCACAGTCCATGCCACTAACTCTTGCCCACCATGTTGTCTGTACTGCTGTAGAGTTGATGTCACTAAGGTACTTCGTGTTTGAGTGGGGGATGTCTCAGAGAACTGCTAACCATCTCCTCATGTTTTCCAAGCTTTATTTTTTAATCAAATCAAATCACTGTGAAACTCATTATTTGAATTCCATTGCTCCTACATTCTGTAGAAAATATCATGACAGGTGTACAGTATAATAATGTCCTCAAACTTAATTAGGTATCTGGATGTAAGATTTAAGGTTTTGTTATGAAAAATTGCTTACAAAGAATATATATTTTTATTAAATAGCTATTATGGCACAGCCTCTATCAGTCTTTAATTGTTCCTTACATAAAAGCCTGGGAGATATATTTTATAATTCAAGATATGATTTTATACATATATATTCAGTGTATCTCCCCCAGAAAACTGATATGTCTCCTTATATCAGTTAGAAACTATGTAATTCAACCTTTTCACCTCTTTCCATTTTTTTCATTCTACTTATCGTGGCTATCAGAAAATTTAGAGTTAATCTTTGGACTCAGTTGTACTAACTTCCAGTCTAGCCTAATTACTCAACATTTCCCTTAAAAATGTGGCTCTTATTTTTATGTTTTAATGTTTTAGAGTATTTTATATTGTTTATATTATTTATTTCCTCTAAACAGTCTCAAATTACATATATATAGGCTATATTTATTTAAATATAAAGATAAATAAAATATATATCTCTAACCAAAAGACCCATTGAGTTTACTTTTCCAACTTTTTTTTTTCCATTTCTTCCATTTCTAATACTAATATAACTCTGGACTGACCCTTTATTACCTCTTTCTATATGACTTCAAAAATTTATTGACACCTTTCCCCAACTTCTGAAATACCTATCTCTCTACTTTGTCCAAAGCAACACAGTTTATAGTGCACCAGTAGTTATGTTATTCTGCTCTTTAAAATTCTTTAGTAACTTTCTGTTTTTTACTAAGACAAATGTGATCTCTAGCTCATTATTTAAAATACTCCCTAATATGGCTTAAACTTATCTTGCAACACTTTTCTCTCTCTAGTCTTCCTTTTGAAACTTATAATTTAGCTCAGCTTGACTGCCTATGGTCAATCCAAGAGCCGTAACCTAAAACTTGAACATCAAACTTAATTTTCCCCTCTCTTTAATCATTGTGTCCCCACCCCAGTACAATCCATCAGTTAGGATCCTCACTATTAGAGATTTTATTTATTTGTCTGTCAGAAAGAGAGAGCACAGACAGGGGAAGCAGAAGCCAGAGAGAGATGCAGGCTCCCCATTAGCAAGGAGCCAGATGCAGGATTCAATCTCAGGACCCTGGGATCATGACCTGATCTTCCAGTCCATTCTCCATACAGGAATTATAACGAGCTTTTAAAACACAAAGAGCACTATGTTATCACCCTGCTTAAAACTGTAAGTTGCTTAAATAAAATCCAAAGTCTTTACCCTGGTCTCCAAAGCCATGCATGACCTGGGCCCTGTTTACCCCTTCAAGCTCATTTCATGTCACTTTCCTCCCAGTTATTCTACTTTAGCTATACCAGTGTCCTATAAATTCCTTGAACACAGCACAGCAATACCTCTTCTGTCTTTGCCCAGGTCATATGTGTGACTAGAGCAGGAGTTGGCAAATTATAGCCCATCAGCCAAATCTGTCCCACAACCTTTTTTTGTCAATAAAGTTTTATTGGAACACAACCATGCCCATTTGTTTAGGTATTGTCAACGGCAGGGTTGAGTAGTTGCAACAGAGAACAAATGGCCCTCAAAACATGAAATATTTACTCTTTGTCCCATTACAAAATGTTCGTTGACCTCCAGGCTAAAGTATTCGTCTCCCTGCACTTTGCTTAGCTACTCTTTTCTCTTTGTACAATTCTCAAATATCAGGCTATCCTGATCACCATTTCTAAGCAGGTTATCTCCTAAATTTCTATTATTGTACCAAGCTTATGATGCCATTACACCCACCACAAAGTTGTGTTTACGTATTGTTTACCTGTAACTATATCTTTAATTAAGATATAAATTTCTTAAGGGAACACATCAGTTTTGGTCTTCACTTTTTGTTCTTTTGTTCTTCACTTTATAATCAGTTCCTAAAATAATACCTGATCATAGTAGGTAATAAATGTTAGCTGAACAAATGAATGAACAGTCCTAGTTCCCACTTCCATTTTTAAAAATCATATTCCTTTTGCTTAGTGACTTTTTTGAGATCTTTTAAGCAGCCTCTTTCCTAATTTATCTTTCACTGAAAATACCTTTTGTATATAACTGCCTTGTGTACCATGTCTGTGATTTAATCTAGTCTCATGGGTGAGATCAGACAATAGTCCTTAAGTCTTTATTTTGTCTTCAATTGTTGTGACAATGCATTTACCTGAGGAGAATAAAGTGGAAGTTCAGAAAGATACTTCCCTTATTGAACAGTTATATCAAAATTAAAATAAAGTAACTGTTAGAAGGAAAATGATGGAGAATTTCTGGTCAAAGCCATACAAACTATATCTGCTTAGAGATGATTTTCTTATTAAAGAGCACAGAAACATCCAATCTTTAAAACAATAAGAAATACATGTATAGATAAATGTCCTAATGTATATTATCTATATTATAAGTAGAGATAAAATACATTATATGTTAACATATTATAAATTTATATATATACATAAATTCTGTAATAGAGCATGCCTTTAGTAATGAAATTTCATGATCAGATCAGTTTCACCGGAAGACTCCCGAGATGCTTAATTGTTCTAAAATCATGTGTCCCTATTTACACTGATAGTTTTGATGTTTGAGAACCATTTATAAGCCTAATTAATTGATGGATTAGTTGTGAAATCTGAGTCCAGCTCCATGATGTTTTTAGTAGATACGTCTGAAAGGAACCAGGAGCAAGGAATACTCAAAGGATGGTATTTCAAGATACCCTGGTAAAGTAACTGGCGAAAACTTCAGGAGAAAGTTGAATTGAAGGACAAGGAGGTGGTCAAGTTATTCGTGGGAAGGAGTTTTGCCCAAGACCTTGAATATTAGGAGATCTCGTTCATAATCTGGAAGAAAGCCTGGGAGACGTCACTAAACTTGGACAGTGGTTTTCATAGTCTTTAACAGGGTTTAAAGGAAATCGTTAGCACTATTTGGTTGCGATCATCTTCGGAGTTTAAGGAAAACCCGAAGCCAGTAAGGCATCAGCCATGGAGAAGTCTGGTATTTCAGCCTAGATGCTCATTCTGTAAACAGAAAGTAAAAAGGCCTGCAGCCTGCAGTTTGCCTGCTTTATATAGGCCATGAATCATTGTTAGTGACATGTAAAAATCTGTCATAAAGCTGTCCCAGTAATAGAGTTATCCTGGATGCAATTACCTGGATTAACAATTGTATATAAAATAATAATTTATTATTCTATGTCTTTATTAGCCACAAGAATCAATAGAATTACGGATAAATGAATTTTTAATTATAAGGAAGTAATTTAAGCTGAGGCCCAATAATTTCCCTTCCTCTCTTCTAGCCAACTGAATTCAAGAGATTTGGAATTGATTCTTCCAAAATTAGCAAATAGCATTATCAGTAACTAGGGATTCAGAGAGACATTTAAAAGTTTATTGTCCATCCCTTTTCCACTTACTTCATTTTTGATTCTGCTATCGTCTTTGTAGGGTACTTTATCAATTAGCAGATTTCATGGAGGGGAAGGAAGTCCAGTATTTTTTTTATTTTTAAAATTTGTTACAGTAGCAGAGTCACTTTAACTTTGCTCTACCAATGTTTCTTAAGTATGTGCTAAACCTACAAAGAAAAATCATTTAAATTTCTCCATCCATTCTAGTTTAATGGGGTTTTATTACTTTAAGCCCTGCGATGCATAGCTATTTTAAAATTTTGAGATTCAGAGGTGACTAATACACATATACTTAGACTCAATTAGAGTTTATAAGAACATAGATAATGAAATGAAACATAGATATTCCAGTAAGATGGACCTGCCTTATAGTCTGGTTTTTATCATATTCTAGCTGTTTGATTTGGGGCATATAATTTAATACAGGATTGTCTGTGTGTATGCGTGTGTGTTTAATATGCTTACATCATAAGGTTTGGAAAACACATAGGGTAGTGCCTGGGAGATTGTAGGCAGTAAATTACAAATATGATTATACGATTATTATGTACTCTAAATATAGTATTCAGGTGTTTTAAGGGAAACATAATACTTAACTGAGAGATGTGTCTTGTTATGAAGAATATTTCCGGGGAGCAGATAGCTCTGTACATATAAATGAAATCAGCTTACTCAACACTCACTTTGTGTAAATACAATCGGTGTATCTTTATTTTTCTTATTCCATATCTAAGCCTACAGCACTAGTCTGTATTTTATAAACACAGCCTTCATGAGTTTAGATAATATAATTAAGGCATCACTCACTTTAAGCACACCGGGATTTAAAGGTGACAGCCCAGGGAGGCTGGACCATATAAGAATATAAAGAATAGGCTGCTGCTTTTGCTTTTGGGGCTGAGTTTAATAAGCGAGCGAGCGAGCGAGCGAGCAAGCGAACGCGGGGGAAAAAGGCAGAGAATGTCCGCCATCTACCCTCCGCTCCCGGGCGCGCTCTCATTCATAGCAGCCTCTTCATGAATTACAGCTGAGGGGGGCGGGGGAGGGGGGGTACCACACAACACCCCAGCAAACCTCCGGGCCCCCAGGCATGGCTAGCTCGTGTGCCGTGCAGGTGAAGCTGGAGCTGGGGCACCGCGCCCAGGTGAGGAAAAAACCCACCGTGGAGGGCTTCACCCACGACTGGATGGTGTTCGTGCGCGGCCCGGAGCACAGTAACATACAGCACTTTGTGGAGAAAGTCGTCTTCCACTTGCACGAAAGCTTTCCTAGGCCACAAAGAGTGTGCAAAGATCCACCTTACAAAGTAGAAGAATCTGGGTATGCTGGTTTCATTTTGCCAATTGGGGTTTATTTTAAAAACAAGGAAGAACCTAAGAAAGTCCGCTTTGATTATGACTTATTCCTGCATCTTGAAGGCCATCCACCAGTGAATCACCTCCGCTGTGAAAAGCTCACTTTCAACAACCCCACAGAGGAGTTTAGAAGAAAGTTGCTGAAGGCAGGAGGGGACCCCAACAGGAGCATCCACACCAGCAGCAGCAGCAGCAGCACCAGTTTTTCAAAGCCTCACAAATTAATGAAGGAGCACAAGGAAAAACCTTCTAAAGACTCCAGAGAACATAAAAGTGCCTTCAAAGAACCTTCCAGGGATCACAACAAATCTTCCAAAGAATCCTCTAAGAAACCCAAAGAAAACAAACCACTGAAAGAAGAAAAAATCGTTCCTAAGATGGCCTTCAAGGAACCGAAACCCATGTCGAAAGAGCCAAAACCGGACAGTAACTTACTCACCATCACCAGTGGACAGCAAGACAAGAAGGCTCCTAGTAAAAGGCCCCCCATTTCAGATTCTGAAGAACTCTCCGCCAAAAAAAGGAAAAAGAGTAGCTCAGAGGCTTTATTTAAGAGTTTTTCTAGCGCGCCACCACTGATTCTCACGTGTTCTGCCGACAAAAAACAGATAAAAGAGAAATCTCACGTCAAGATGGGAAAGGTCAAAATTGAAAGTGAGACCTCCGAGAAGAAGAAATCAACGTTACCGCCATTTGACGATATTGTGGATCCCAACGATTCCGACGTGGAGGAGAACATGTCCTCCAAATCTGATTCTGAACAGCCCAGCCCTGCCAGCTCCAGCTCCAGCTCCAGCTCCAGCTTCACGCCGTCCCAGACCAGGCAACAAGGTCCTTTGAGGTCTATAATGAAAGATCTGCATTCTGATGACAATGAGGAGGAATCAGATGAGGCAGAGGATAATGACAATGACTCCGAAATGGAGAGACCTGTAAATAGAGGAGGCAGCCGAAGCCGCAGAGTTAGCTTAAGTGACGGCAGCGACAGTGAAAGCAGCTCATCTGCTTCGCCCCTCCACCACGAACCCCCGCCACCTTTATTAAAAACCAACAACAACCAGATTCTTGAAGTGAAAAGTCCAATAAAGCAAAGCAAATCAGATAAGCAAATAAAGAATGGTGAATGTGACAAGGCCTACCTAGACGAACTGGTGGAGCTTCACAGAAGGTTAATGACGCTGAGGGAGAGACACATTCTGCAGCAGATCGTGAACCTTATAGAAGAAACTGGACACTTTCATATCACAAACACGACATTTGATTTTGACCTTTGCTCGTTGGACAAAACCACAGTCCGTAAACTACAGAGTTACCTGGAAACATCTGGAACTTCCTGAGGATACAACAACTGGATGCATCAAAAACTATTGTTGGTTTTTTTTTTTTTTTGGTTGTGATTTTTTTTTTTGTTTGTTTATATGAAAACACTCAGAATGATGCAACCAAAAGGGAAAAAAATAAAAATCAAACAACCTTCAGCTTTATTTTTCTTTAAAGCCAGTCATCATCTCTTGATAAAGGAGAGGTTAAGCAAACCAGCCTCAGCGGACCACTCTTCTCTCCAAGGAAATCCCCGGGAAGAGTTAGCCTGGATAGCCTTGAAAACAAACAAATCAAACACAACACAAGAAAACTTTCAAGAAGGTGTATGGTATCCTTGTCTCTCTCTCTGTGGTGGTTCATTCCACAGGACGAATGCATATTCAACACACTGCCTTATTACATAACTGATCTATTTATTATCGCATACAGATATTCTAAAGTCGTTGAGGGAATGACACCACAAGACATTATAAGTACTTGGTCCCACGGATGCTCTTTTCAGTGCAGCGCCCTTGCCATCCCAAGCCCAGTGACCTTACTCGTATACCGTGCCACTCTCCGCCAACTTTTCCAAGTCCTTTTACTCGTTGCAGTCTGTATTTGCCACCTTTTGTTTTTCCAGTTCCAGGACACAAATAATCAACTGGGGGGACCAAATTGCCACCCTGATTTTCTTCTTTGTGGTCTTTCTCCTGAAAGTTGGGGCCCAGCCCTTGGCTGTGTCCATATAATGATCTTGGACCATGGTAGGAAATGCACCAAATAGGATCATATGAGTTGTTGTCTAGCCTTAGTCAATAAACCTGTAGGACTTTTAAACAAGTGTACCTGTAAACGTCCTGCATCCAGCATTGTTGAGCTGTCAATCAACATCCTTGTGTCTGTTTTACTGTTTCTAATACTAGAGAAAGACGGAAGTAAAGGCATTCCACAGGATCATCGTTTAAAAAAAAAAGGAATTCTGGTTCTGTTTTCTAAAGAAATGTTGTAGAAATTCTTAATTTGGATCTATTTATTAGTAAGAGTTTCAGCTTTCTTCAGCTGCCAGTGTGTTATCCATCTTTACCATAAAACCTGGAATAAGAGATTTTTGTTCACGAATGATCCTCGTAGACTCTTTTATATTTGGAAAATTAAAATCTTTCTTTGGGTGAAAATCCTTGGTTATTCTGCCGTAACAGATCATGTATTAACTTGTAGATTCAGTGGTTCGAGCCTGTTTAGTCACTTGCTTATGTTTCCAGAAGGATTTCTTATATTGGTGAAAATAAAGATGGTTGGGGAGGGGGGGGTTATTTTTGTTCTTGATGTACCCTGTTTTAAAACTAGAAATCTGTCCTGTGGCATGCAAAAGAAAGCGAATTATTTTTAAAAGAAAAAAAAAAAAGAATATAAAGAATAGTGAGAATGGGGATGCCTGGGTGGGGCTCAGTTGGTTAAGCAGCTGCCTTCAGCTCAGGTCATGATCCCAGCATCCTAGGATCGAGTCCCACATCGGGCTCCTTGCTTGGCAGGGAGCCTGCTTCTCCCTCTGTCTCTGCCTGCCACTCCGTCTGCCTGTGCTCGCTCTCGCTCCTCTCTCTCTGACAAATAAATAAAGAAAATCTTTAAAAAAAAAAAAAGAATAGTGAGAATGATGATAGTGATTTTTTACTGTGTGCTTACCAAATGCCAGATTTGTGTTAACTGCTTTATTTCATTTAATTATTGTAGTACCTCTGTGACATGAATACTGTCATTATCTGTGTCTTGTTGACAAGGCAACTGAGGCTTTGAGAGATTAATTTGACCAAAGCTCACAAAGACAGTGGGTTAGGGAGATAGGCTCCATCTAGAATCCTTTTATGCATTTATAAGGCACCACCTTCTCAGACTCTGGAACCACAGTCGAACCTGTTCTGTAATCTTATCAATAATGATTTATCTTTGCATCAATATCAATCCTTTGAGGAATGCTGAAACGTGAAGTAGTGATGCACAGATGTGAAGCCGGGTTGACTTTTTCTTCAAACTTTTTAAAAAAAGATCTTATTTATTTATTTGAGAGAGAGGGGGAGAGAGAGAGAGAGAGTGAGCATGAGCGGGGGCAAGGGTCAGAGGGACAAGCAAACTCTGTACTGAGTGGAGGACCTGAGCTTGATCCCAGGACCCTGAGATCACGTCCTGAGCGGAAGACAGGTGCTTAACTAACTGAGCCACCCCGGCACCCATTCATGTTTTAAACTTTTATTCCTGTTTTAGTTGCATATTTAAAAATAAAGTATTCCAGGGTGCCTGGCTGGCTCAAATCAGTTAAGTGTCTGCTGTTGGCTCAGATCATAATCCCAGGGTCCTGGGATCCAATCCCGCATTGGGTTCCCTACTCCCCGGGATGTCTGCTTCTCCCTCTACCCCTCCCCACTGCTTGTGATCTCTCTCTCTGGGATAAATAAATAAAATCTTTAAAATTAAAAAAAAAGCATTTCAATAATTAAAATCATTTGAACCAACAACAAATGGTAGTCGGCTTAAATTGCATTTTATAGGCTGCAGGACACTTTGGACCAGCTTGGTTTCTACTTGAAATTCACTGTGGTCCCACCCAGCTCCTGCTAAACCAACATTCAGGTACTTCCTACTCTGCCAGCTAGACCTGCCTGGAAGAGACAGGCCTGCCTTGTCAGTAGTTTTTGATTCTTTGATGTGGAAAGGAGTGACCCCATCCTTTAAAATCTGACCAAACTTCTTTGCATTTTAACAAAGTGAACTAGCTAAAGGTAGATAACGCTTGTGGAATGTTCATTGTGTATTGGCCACATGTGTGTCTGAGATTCCTGTGTTCACTTATCTAGTTCAACTGCTCCCTTGGAAGATGTTGGACTTGACTCTTGGATTTCTGCCTTCAGTTTTGGCTTATTGAATTTCTCAGTCTTATCATGATTGGGTTTGTCAGATGTGGTTGCAGAGGAAGTGGAGGAGATGTACTAGGTGAGCAGAGTCTAGTTGGTGATTCTTGTTTGACTTTTAAGCTCTTGCTGTCCAGCTGAAAAACTGGTGAGAATAGATATAAGCAATCTTCGGCTGTTTAAGACATTGACTGTATTTACTGCCTTCCTTACTGGTATGTCCTGACTCAGTATGTGGTGAGGCAGGGATATGTTGTTGAATAATGATCTCTGTTTTCTTTTTCTTAACACTTGCCCATCTCTTCATCTTCACATTCATAGTGGGGGTTTTTAGCCCAACCGATACTTCTCAGTCACAAAGTCAAGAGCATGTACTCTTGTTCTCAGCGTGGAGCATGACTAATAGAAACATGGTTAGCAGATCTTCTGCATGGCCCAGGATCAGCAGTCCCCTCCACTTATCCCCAGTTCAGATAGGCAGATACCAGAGAGGAAAGGTGGCATTGAATCCTAACCTCCTGGGCTTTGGTGACTAAAAAGCAACACTCAAAAGCAAGCCCTTATGCTGTACCCCTTAAACTTACATAGTGCTAAGTACATATCTCAGTAAGACCGAAAGGAAAAAAAAACAAAAAACAAAAAACAAAACCAATAAAGCCCCAAAACCAAGAAACTAACACTCTTTGCCAAAGGTTTGCAAAGTTAGTAACATTAAAATCCAAAATAAATGTGTGAATAGTCTTTCCTGTGAAAGAAAAAAAAAAAAAAACTTCAAGGGCACTTAGAATCTCACATGACAAATGAAGATATTCCCCCCCATTTATTTATTTATTTTAAAATTTAATTTAATTTAATTTTTTTCAGTGTTCCAAAATTCATTTGTTATGCACCACACCCAGTGCTTCCTGCAATACATGTCCTCCGTAATACCCACCACCAGGCTCACCCAATCTCCCACCCCCCACCTCTCCCAAACCCTCAGTTTGTGTTTCAGAGTCCACAGTCTCTCATGGTTTGTCTCCCCCTCCGATTTCCCCCAACTCACTTCTCCTCTTCATCTCCCAATGTCTTCCATGTTATTCCTTATGTTCCACAAGTAAGTGAAACCATATGATAATTGACTCTCTCTGCTTGACTTATTTCACTCAGCATAATCTCTTCCAGTCCTGTCCATGCTGATACAAAAGTTGGGTATTCATCCTTTCTGATGGAGGCATAATACTCCATTGTATGTATGGACCATATATCTTCTTTATCCATTCATCCATTGAAGGGCATCTTGGTTCTTTCCACAGTTTGGCAACTGTGGCCACTGCTGCTATGAATATTGGGGTGCAGATGGGGTACATCTGTATTTTGGGGATAAATACCCAGTAGTGCAATTGCAGGGTCATAGGGTAGCTCTATTTTTAATTTCTTTTTTTTTTTAATTTTATTTATTTATTTGACAGACAGAGATCACAAGTAGGCAGAGAGGCAGGCAGAGAGGAAGGGAAGCAGGTTCCCTGCCAAGCAGAGAGCCCAATGCGGGGCTCGATCCCAGGACTCTGGGATCATGACCTGAGCCGAAAGCAGAGGCTTTAACCACTGAGCCACCCAGCTGCCCCTCTATTTTTAATTTCTTAAGGGATCTCCACACTGTTTTCCAAAGTGGGTGCACCCACTTGCCTTCCCACCAACAGTTAAGAGGGTTCCCCTTTCTCCATAAGATCTCCAACATTTGTTGTTTACTGTCTTGTTAATTTTGGCCATTCTAACTGGTGTAGGGTGGTATCTCAGTGTGGTTTTGATTTGAATCTCCCTGATGGCTAATGATGATGAATATTTTTTCATGTGTCTGTTAACCTTTTGTATATCTTCTTTGGACAAGGGTCTGTTCATGTCTTCTGCCCATTTTTTGATGTGATGATCTGTTTTGTGTGTATTGAGTTTGAGGAGTTCTTTATAGATCTTGGCTATCAGCCCTTTGTCTGTAGTGTCATTTGCAAATATCTTCTCCCATTCCGTGGGTTGCCTCTTTGTTTTGTTGACTGTTTCCTTTGCTGTGCAGGAGCTTTTGATCTTGATGAAGTCCTGAAAGTTCATTTTCACTTTTGTTTCCTTTGCCTTTGGAGACATATCTTGGAAAAAGTTGCTGTGGCCGATGTCAAAGAGGTTACTACCTATGTTCTCCTCTAGGATTTTCATAGATTCTTGCCTCACGTTGAAAAAGAAAAACAAAACTGGGGGTATCCTGTTGCCTGATTTCAAGCTTTACTACAAAGCTGTGATCACCAAGACAGCATGGTACTGGCACAAAAAGAGACACATAGACCAGTGGAACAGAGTAGAGAGCCCAGATATAGACCCTCAACTCTATGGTCAAATAATCTTCAACAAAGCAGGAAAAAATATACAGTGAAAAAAAAGACAGTCTCTTCAATAAATGGTGCTGGAAAAATTGGACAGCTATGTGTAGAAGAATGAAACTGGACCATTCTCTTACACCATACGCAAAGATATTAGCACCATGCTCTAACCAACTGAGCTAACCGGCCAACCACACCACCATATGCAAAGATAAACTCGAAATGGATCTTTTTTTTTTTTAATGAAGATATTTTTCTTAAAAAAAGAGCAAACAATAAAGCAAATCAACTCTAGGATAAACAGAAAAGAACCAGAAAAGAACTGTTATCTTAAGGATTGTTCTGCATTGGAAAAGTATGTATCTAGTTATAATAGTATAAACTCGTGGATTTTGTACCTTCTAGAACAATGTATTGATAGAACACGGACGACCAGATGATGGTTACAGAGCAGCATCCATGCTATCAATTTTCTCATACTCAGTTAAGCTATGGATGACAGAAGACGGTGAAGGTGGGGTGGGGGAGAGCTGGGAGAATAGAAAGCCAACAGCTTAACATACTAAATGGCAAGTAAACAACGTTCTGTATGGTGGATAGAACAAGGAGTCCAGGTCGTATCAGTAGGCAATAAAGATAAAAGAAAGACTTGTAAACTGGAGCAGTGAGAGAAGGCAGAGTGGGTGGTGGGTACTGTGGAGTGAGGTTAATAGTGAAGTTCATGGGAAATGTCAGGAGTGGGTAAGGAGCTCCTGGAATATCTTGGCTGGAGAACTATCAGGAGAATGGGAACAAACAGCCAGAGGTTGAGTCTGGTGGCAGAAGGGGCTAGGGCTGGGGACTAGCGTGACTGCATGTATGACTTTGATAAACAGATATCAAAAGTTAGTATTGAAAAAGAAATGCTGTAGAAAACATTTTCTAGTTATATTCCTTTAAATCCCCCCACACCTGCTTGTTGTTGTTGTTGTTTTGTTTTCGTTGGTGTTGTTTTTAGTATATATGGGCTTGGAAAGAGAGTGTTTTTCTAAGTATGCATAAGAGGAGCAAGGTTGTCATTTTTTAAAATGATGATACCAAAATGACCAGGACAATGCCACTTTGACTTCAGAGAGCCAGGAGAGACTCTCAACAACCCTGAGGGTCGCCATATC